ACCAACCAGTTCACATGTGTTTGCCTACCCTCTCTTCAACTAAAAAGGACTTGAGTGCTTTCTGAAATTCTCCCTTGGATGAGAACTTCTGCAAAACTGTGTTAAATATTAACTCGGATACATTTGCTCTTTCAAGCCTGCCCCTGAAGGTTCAATTTAATGTATATGTGTTGGAAACAATTTAAGAGTATTTGTGTGATGCACAATCTTCATTAATAAACAAGAAAATGTATCAGATTTGGTCCAGTATTCAAACAATGTATACATGGAAAGAAGAAAACATGGGAAAAGCAGTTGCAATCCTGCTCCTTTGCCCAGTCATCAACAGGAGGCACACTGTAACAGCTCCACAGGCAACAGGGAGGACTTCAGCTTCACCAGGACTGCTCTGCAAACACCAGGTTAATCCTAAAACACTTCAAAGGCATATTTGTGCCAAGAGAACTGAGTGAAGATGCTCACAGCAAATGAGAGAGACCTTTTGGGTGTTCTGAGCTCTGTGTGTTGGGGTTTTCGTTTTTTCCAATTCCAATTTGTCACAATAAAAAGACAGTGTAAACATGTTTCTTAATCCCCCATGGAGCTTGGAACCCAAAAAGCAGCAGTTACAGCAAAGAGCTATCTGAAAACTGCCACATTACCTCTGCAACCCAGTTCTAAATCTTTCTGAGCCCTTCCTGGAGCCGGAGCCAGCCTCCAGCACAGCAGGGACCTGGTTTTCTGCAAGACATTTCCACCTGGCATCTCAGCCAGGGTCAGGGAGGACGGAAAGAGGAGGGGGATAGAGTCCTCCAGATCTTAACTCAAAATTCCTTGCTTTGAGCCACTACAAGCTTGATGAGGACAGAGCTGACCTTGCTTTGAGCAGGAAGCTGGATGGAAAGGTCTCCTGAAGCCTGTTCTAACCTGAATTACCCCATGGTCTTCGAGTCCAGGGAACTTTCCATAGAGCTTAGGGCAGATTTTTTTAAAAGGATGTCAGGATAATTTCTCTGACAGTGTCATTAAAGCAAGCAAACTCCACTGAATAGTCATGGCAAAAGCCTTATAATATATGGCAGCTTCCAAACTCCAGGAATCAAATTCAGCTTTATAGATCAGATTTGCCAAGATTGGTCACTGCAATAAAAGTGAAGACACAACCCAGAATGAGTATCAAAAGTGTCTGGGTCTGATATATGGGTACATTTAAAACTAAACATCATCTTACAAGATATACATTGAACTACCTTTCTGATGGGTAGACCTTGCTTGTAATGCAAGAAAAAGCCAAATTATTTGGCTTTTTAGAAGGGCCTGTAGGGACAGGCCAAGGGGAATGGCTTTAACCTGCCAGAGCGGAGACCGAGATGAGCTCTTAGGCAAAAGTTCCTCCCTGTGAGGGTGCTGAGGCGCCGGCACAGGGTGCCCAGAGAAGCTGTGGCTGCCCCATCCCTGGCAGTGTTCAAGGCCAGGTTGGACAGGGCTTGGAGCAAGCTGCTCTAGTGGAAGCTGTCCCTGCCTCTGACAAGGGGTTGGATCTGGATGAACTCGTAAGGTTCCTTCGGAACCAAACCAGTCTGAGAGTCCATGATTCTATGCTATTAGCTGTAACTGTCCCTAGCTAAGAGCAGTTAAGAGCTGTGTATCTGCTACTCCCTACTCGAAATCAGAGCAGCTAAATCAGCCCAGTGCCATTCCTCCACAACACTCAGCCCGCCACTGCTCCCCGGTAATGCAGGGCCTCCATCAGGACTCTTAGGGCTGCGGACTGGCTGATGTCCACCCTGCAGCTCCACGGAGCAAAGGGAAAAACAAATCACCCCCCGAACTGCTCTTCTGTAAACCAAGGCAACTTCAGTGAAGTTACACATATTAAAAGAAAGGCATATTTCAACTCGAGGCTTACAATAAGCTCGCTGCTTCTTTACAAAGCACCAGAAAATAAAAGCATGGTAAAAAAAAAAAACATGTTTTACTTCAATAAGATTATACTTTAACCAGTGCATTTTAAGTAATACATTTGAGGGACACATAAGAAAGTGTAAAATGCAAATAAAGCAGTTTCATATGACAATAGCTGGGGTTTAAGTTGGGGTGGAAGCATTCCTTTTCCCAAGTAAGGAGCTATGGATGTAATCTCTATGGCCAGGAAAACACAGAAGCTGTATAAATAGAGCCTGTATGCTGCTGTAAGGAAGGCAGGCAGTCTCACATATTGACTTTTTAAGTCATCCACAAGGTCTCAAGGGTATTTTATTATCCTGCAGCTGAGAATTATCTCCCCTGAAAAAACAGAGCCTTTGATAAATTGTTCTCTGCACAGGAATTCCATGACATACTTTACAAACCCAGGAGGACTGCCAGGCCATTTGATTCACTCTGCTCCAGAGACTGTAGGCCAATAGTTGTGTTTTCCATGACAGAAGTAAACATACCCCAGTACAAATCAAAGACAACACACTGGGGAGTTACACCTGAGCAGCGCCTATCTCTACGCATTCTGTTCCCAAGCTGAAGGCTGGCATCGCTGGATTGCTCCTCATGCTTCCAAAGCACTGAAATGGCTTTATTCCCAGTGAGATGCTAGGGTGCTGGTACCTAAGAGTTAACATCCAATTGCTAACAAAAGGTTCTACCATTTACAATGAACCACAGCACACAGCTCCTGCCCTGTTCAATGATGTCCCAACCACAATGTGAAGCAGTTTTGTATTAATTGCTCACCAGCACAGTTCTGCCAACATCATCACAGACCCAAATGTCTGAACAGGAGCTGCTTGTGGCGATAAACCCTTGTCTTCCAAATGAAAAAGATCTGCCCACCTGGACATTTAAACACCACTACATGTCAAAGGTGTAGCCCTAGCACTGACTGGGGCAGCTGTGCCCAGTTTGTGTGGCACCAACTCATGCACCCTATGCTTTCAAGGACTTTGTCCTGAAAAGTTCAAAATGCAGACTCTAAACTTCACCTTTACAGTCCGAATCACACAAAATGCCTTTGCTACCAGTGAAGGTATCGTGCCATCTCCACATCTCTTACGGAGCTGGGTCTCTAAACCGAATGTTGTCAAACTCATGCTTCTAAACCTCCAAGTCACTACCGTGGGGCTGCCATTATTCTGTTCCATTAAGTATTTATTTCCCCAAATCTACTGCCTTGTCTTCAGCGTAAACAAGTCAAGCTGCTACAACACGCTGCCCATGCCCAATGTGCATTTTTAGGACAGCTGCACACAGTTTGAGTAATTCATTTCTATTGTTAAGCCAGAACATCCTCATCCGAAAAAAGAAGGAAAATATGAAAACCATTCGAAAAAAATAACCTCATTAGTGGTGGTGGCAGGGAAGTGGCAGTAAAATTCAGAGAACATGCATGAACTTTCCTTGTATTTGAAATCCACTGATACTCAGTTATTTCAGCTTCACAGAAGTCTGAAGTTTTGCAATATTCAGTTGAAAGTGTATTTTCATATGGCCAGATAAAACTTACAAAATAAAGCAGAAAAAAGATGGCCTCACATATGCTATTTCAGGTCAGGATTCACGTGCAGGTTTAACTGAAATTAATTATGTCCCATCACATGAACACTGGGCAGACAACCAGTGCTTTTCATTAAAAGAAGAAAAGATGCACATTTCATACATTAAAAAAAAATAAAATCACAGAATCTACTGAGTAAAAACATTCCATACTGGAAAAGATCAAAGAGCTTTCAAATACACCTGAGGGAATCACATAAAGTAACTAACTGCCCCTATCTTTTAGGTTTGAACGTTAGTCAAACATGAGTCTGCTCGTTCAGACTTCATTATTTTTATGGCCTCCACTGTATAAAGTGGTATAATGTATGTAACTGCCAGCTGTGCTTGATTCCGTCATCAGCAATTGGGTTTTAAAGAAAATAACACCTTTTCCCACAATCCAAACACACCAACTCAAAAATGCCATAGACTTCTTTCTCATGCATGTATGCCACAGAAATGCAGCACACAGTTCTCTCCAATACCAGCATTCCCAGCTCCAGAGAAGGGCTATAAATAGTTAAGTTTTTAGAAGAAAGAGCAGGGTATGCTGTAAATGAGAAGTCTCCCCTCTGCTTGTGAGCTTCTATTGTTTTGCATTACTTCAGTGCTGGATTCCTGATTTGTAACAAATTCCAAGACTGCAGACTACAGGCCCAGCCTCTGACTAACACTGTGGTGATTTATTTGAGGCTAAATACCTCTGTCCGCATCTTATGACTGAACACAACAGTCCACAGCAGCATGGAATGCGAGGAATGCCGAGGCTGCAGGAGCTGAGGCAGCAGGGAAAGGCACACAGCTATCAGGCAGCCCTGGACTGCTGAACCGCTCCAATCACTTCCTCCAGTCAAGAATGAAAGGAATTCTCTAAGCCTGTACTTCATGCCAAGCAGACTTGCATTCCCAGGAATGAGAACAGAGCAAGAATGGCATTTGATGATTACCCAACACAGGCACCTAACTCATCTACACCTTACCTGTAGGAAAAATTCCACATCTGACTGTCAGAGCTGAGGCACGATCCTTTAAGTAATGTTTAGTAACAACTGCAGCTTACCCAGCTGTCAAGGCAGACTACAGAGCAGCTGGCTCACAATCCTGGCCTCGAAAAAATGCAAAGCACTTCTGTTTCTCCTCCTCCTGCCTCACCACCCCCACCAGCAGAGAGTGCAGAGCTCAGAATCAGGGGAAGTGAAAGGAGCAGATTACGCAGAACAAATGAACAATACTTCAGAAATCGCGAGGTGAATACGTATGTTCTACTATAAATAGTTAAACTGAGCTAATTCCTGTTACCTCATGCTGTATGAAAACAAAAGAAAACAAGATGACCCACCAAATCACACCAGTCTTTGTGCAGATCTTCCAGACTGGAACAAAGGAAAAACCCAGCCCAAAGTTTTGGATGCAGTATGATTTTAGCACACACAGAGACGAAGAGGATAGCACTACATTCTGTGAAGCAGAGGAAACAGAAGCCAGACACTTACAGATGGGGGTTGAACATTCGACTCATTTTAGAAACGTGGTCATTTTCACAGTCTAGCTCATCGTCCCCTTGGTCCATGCTCAGCTTTCTCTTGTTGGGGCTGATAGGAGGAGGGCCTGTTCGATGGTTGGTTAGAACGGAGGACACTGGAAGGGACTGCATTCTGGGCTCACCTCTTAGGGCTGCTTCACCTGCAGGAAGAAGACAAGTGAGAATGAACACAACAGGGAGAAGAGAGGTAAAACAATATGCTCTCTGAAAACATTCTCACACAAAACTCTCCCAAACATATATCAGGTCTGCACAGGCACATTTAACATGGCTGTAAGATAAATAAAGTATCATAAACCATATTCCAGTGTTTTATGCTGGAATCAACAGTCCACAAAAGGTAGTACGGGAGGGGTCAACTCACCCCAGATAATCTGAAAGGCTGAGCTAACGCAGCTTTTCCAACAGCAGTTTTATTCAGAAGCATTCCTTCTTACAAGCTGCAGCTCCAACACTGAACTTTCATTACCTCATTCTGCAAAGCATGACTGTTCGCACTGAAATAAGCTTTGTTCCTTTTCTTATGGTTGTGGTTATAAATTCCAGGGCTACAGATCACACTGATGCCAAATACTCAAGATCTAAAACTGAATAAATGTTCAAACGATTCCTTTTGTGAAAGGCTGTCCAAACCAAGCTTCTCTGGTATATAACTGTGCAAGGCAAAAACTAGGGAGAAAACTAGAACTTGCTGATGTAGATTTTTAAGTTTGTCCTTAAACATCCTGCTCTATACTTTTAAACTACGTTTGGAGCAATGAACAGAACAGCACAATTCTTCCGCGTAAGAATGACAACATTTCACTGTAAGAATGCTAATGCTCAACTAGGCAGACTGGTGGCAGAGTACTGAGGAGATTATAAATCGCATATAAATCTACACTTACCAGAAAGTGCCACTCACAGCATGCAGGAGCTGTGTATGAATAATTCCAGAACTGATACAATGAGCTTGCACAAAAACACATCCCATCTCATTACTAAGCACACAGGACTCTTCCCATTTCAACTAAACATCTCACTAAAGCACAATGCTGCTTCAGCAGCAGCTATGGACTTGACTGCAACTCACATCCTCACAGCCACAGGTTGTATTTAGACCTCAGGGGGATTCAAAGATGTTAAAACAACGCTTTTGGGACTTCATAAAGGGGTTGGAGAGGAGCTGAATTAACCAGCATTACCTGTTCCGGAAACACCCCTGAAATAGCCACTTTTGCTAGAGTTTAGAATTTGTATTTTTCCTACACTGCCAGACACATTTGTTTTCTACATGGCCGTAATTTCCAGAGCTAAAATTAGGATCAAGTTAACTCCATCTGCAGTACCTGACAATGGAAATCTTTGTATGCCACCACACATTTTCACATCATCGCCATGACAGATGATTTATAAAATGCTGCCCTAATTCCACACACGACAAACAGTGTTTTGTTGGAAAAGGAACGAGTGAGGAGAAAACCTCCTGAATGTTTACCAGTAAAAATAAGCATTTTGCCAATTTAGTCAGCATAATATAAACTAGCAAATATACACCAACCTATAATACACCACAATTCACGATTTCTATTAAAGACTCTGGCACCAAATCTAAATAGGAACTTTCCATCTCGGCTTTAAATAGTAAAAACTGCGCTCTACTGCAAATGCTCCGAGGCAGACATCCAGCCCCTCTCCTGTTCCTAACACCCAAAGTGTTAGCCCCACAACTGCCCCACTGTCACAGGAGAAGCTTTAAGCAAAAAGACCTCTCATGAAATAATCTTTGTATCAGTAAAATTTCTGAATATTGTCTTCAGCCTTTGTATTTTGCCAGGAGAAACCTCCACCTACATAGCATTCATACTCCAAACTCCAGATGTAAACCACATCATACCAGTTTCTCCCCAGTGATGAACCTCTCTCACTTCTATCTTTGACAAAAATAAGTTAATACCAAAGTCAAAAGATAAAACTTTTGATCACTTATGGCTTGTGATACTTTCATCCCACCTGTATGCAACCACACTTCTCTCTGCAGGACCTCAGATCACTTCTGAAGGCTCAAACACGAAATTCCATTACAGGAATCACAAATTCCATGTAGGCACTTAACTCCAACTGACTTCTGAGCAACTCCTCATGGGAACACAGGCAATTTAAACACCCATGTAAAACTAACACTGGTGTTTACAAGAGACAAAAGAACTTTACATGCTGTTAGAAACCTTTCTGTTTTTCAGGAGCCTGATTCTATACAGTTACCTCAATGGGGGTGTGTGCGTGTATGTGTGTCCTTAAAAAAAATACAAAATAAATTCAAAATACACATTCATCTTACTCTATGCATGGTAACACCACCATCTATAGATATTCCTCTGGGAAGATTCTGACTGGACACAAGAGGAAAGTTTTTCGCAAAGAGAACAATCAGCCATTGGAATCAGCTCCCCAGGGAAGTGGTGGGGTCCTCAACATTGGACACTTTTAAGACTGGGCTGGACAGGGTGCTGGCCCATCTAGTCTAGGTCATGGTGTGCCTAGAAAGGCTGAGCCAGATGATCCTTGAGGCCCCTTCCAAGCTGGGATCCTATGATTCTGTATTAATACCCAGATTGAGCACAAACTCTGGTAAAAGCTCTATCGCTATTTGATGCTGGAATTAAAGAAACCCATTTGAAAGAAATCTAGCAAAGAAAGAAATGGCTTCAAATTAAAGCCTGTCGAATTTGGTAATACACGGTCCTCATTGTATAGAGACGTGGTAATTATGCAGGGGATACCAGTGCCTTCAGGTAACCACACCAAACTGCCCAGTGTTTCCACAGCACCACAGGGCCATTTGGCCACAATTAATCTAATTAACAAAGCTTCAAAGAGATGGCAGTGCTGAGCAGGCAGGAGCAGCAAAAGCTCTTACATCCTCAATCTCTTACAGAACAGGCAAGAAGAACTGAGCACCTCCTCATAAGAAGATACAAGTGGCCAGTGTTGGACAAAGCCTTGGGTCATATGGTTTAGTGTGAGGTGTCCCTGCCCATGGCAGGGGGGTTGGAACTGGATGATCTTAAGGTCCTTTCCAACCCTAACTATTCTATGATTCTATGATCTTGCACAGCCCACCCTGCAGACACCAGGCAAGCAGAGAACAATACCAAACAAGAGAGTCCAGATGACAGGGCAAGATCAAGAGGAAAAATATCTCGTGTTGTTTATGGGGATAAACTGCACATTTGTATACTGTATTTGTACTGCACCATGAGTTTTCATGTGGCTGTATGTTTGATTAAGGCTAAAACTGCTTTTTATTTAAATAAAAAGGCAACTTCTCTCTCCCACTACTTTCCTGCTTACCAAACTTGAATTTAAACCAGAGAGGGCGAAACCACAGCAGAGCCTACCACACAGAATGCTGCTTTACTGACTCCGTTTGTCTCCTCCAACTGACCACACTCCATGGTAACCAGACTCGCATCATACAGCTGGCAAGACAACACTCTGATAAAACAACTGTGTCTTATAAAATTCCCTGAGTCCAAACTCCAGGCTTCAAAATTCATTACTGTGACGGCTTGAGTCTGCACTGCGACTGAAAGCAGAGATAGCAAACACATTTATTGTGCCTCTCTCAATACTTCTCTTTGTTTCAGTGTGCAGATGGTGTAAGGCACTCCAGATCTGCTGCTTTCAGATACTTCTACTTACAACTATTCATACTGGTCTCTTCCCCCCCCCCCCTTTTCTATTAAAACTGTTAGGCAACATGATAAAGCACAGACAAGCTAAACAAAGATATCAACGTGACGTAGTGTCTGCCTATATAGCAGTACTGCAGTAGTGCACTCAGTTGACAGAAGTCCATGCAGTCAGCAAGAATGTTCTTTATTTTAACCACTCAGGAGCCTACACTCCTGATGGGAAAGGGATTCACATTAACACGTGCAAACTGAATGTTTGTAAAACATTCAGACCCGTACACCACCAGGACAGTGCTCTGTAAACAGTGGGTCTTCCACACTGTTTGCGTTTCTCTTGCAGTGCAGTCAGCAATATCTGCATCCCTTCTGCAACGTTCGCACAATACAAACATCACAACAGCAAAAGTCGTGTTTTTACAAGTGTGGATTTGATAGCAGGACACCAGAGAAGGCTCAGAATATGCCTGAGAACTCCAGGAGTTACCAAAGACTTGGGGGGGAATATACACCATTTTGGCAGTAAGCTTGCTTCCTCTCTGACCCAGCAACTCAGTACGGGCTGCACTAAGACAAGGCTACCCTATCCTACTCCCCCTCCCAATTTCCTCTCCCCGCTGGCTACTATTAGTGCCTAAAATCCAAGCACTAATCACAATCCAGAAACAAAAGGCTTCATCTTTCCAGATGAAGACTGACATTATACAGACCTTAAGACAGATCAAACTAGAACTCCCTGAAAGAGAATTCCAGCACTGCCTTTGCCGATTTTACTTCTCCATTCTGCATCTGACAAAGGGATTTGTCCTCAAGAGTGAATTCATGACACATTTACCAACTTTAAAGAAAATTTTCTTGGTTGTGGTGTCTGTCAGCAGGGTACTTTACCTTTAAAGTCCTGGATTAAATTACCCTGACCTCGGGCCACTCCATTAGCTAATAAAATCATGGGCACCAGAGTTTAACAGACTTCAATTAATGTGCACTGCACCTTTAATTAACTTTTCCAATACCTCCATGCAGACACAGGCTCATTAGAAACAGGAGGTTCCCCATGTTCTTAGGGCCAGACATCCCAGGAATCAACAGCACATGAAGATGTTCAAGGGCATTTTCTCTGCTGGTTCAAGATCAAAATTGAACTCTCACGACACATGAAACATTAATGCTGAAAAGCTGCATATCTGTGAAAAGGATGTTATAAAATGGAATGCCTTTTATTTTCTATTCCTATTTGCTAACAGTCATGAGGAGATTAAATTGCAAATAGACTGGAATGAATTTATGAACTATTGCATGCTTTCTTCCACTATCTCAAACACAGAATTCAGACTGAGCCAACATAAATTGGGATAAATGGCATAAAATTTCCAATTCATGCACAAAAAGCACATGATTTCAGATATCAAGTACCAAGCACGGAAGTCGCCACAAATTACTCAATTCAACGAGTCATCAAAACAAGT